AAACTCCAGTTTGGGTCTGGAGTCAATGATGCAGATATATTCAAAACAGAGTCAAGACATGCAGAGTTTTATCCCAGGTCTATCCGCATTGGTTATTCACACAGCCAAAAATGCAAAACTTGCAGGAAAACTCAGAATCCCCCCCTCCCCGAGTTTATCAATTATCCCAGTTTTTGTGGGTTTTTTGGCAGCCCACCCCCACAAAACTTAATCGGATGCATTTGAAATTCACATGAACTACACAGATTCAACCCACGTTCTAATGGGATTATTTCCACCCTCTGAATAACCCTGGAGAGCCATGGAGCCAAGATACAAAGAGTTTTAGGGAATAGTTCAGAGAAGGCAAAAGGATTAAGAAATGGAGCAGTGAAGGTGAAGCAGGAGGCAAAAGGCAAGAGAAGACAAAGGGTCATAAGAGCGGGAGATGAAGGAGATGCATTTCACATTGTGGTCTGAGCTAAACAGGCAATTATTTTACTCCTGTCGAAAGAGAACAGAAAGCCAGCATGGTGTAGTGGTTTGGGTATTAGACTAGGACTCTGGAGATCAGAGTTCAAGTCCCCATTCAGCCATGGAAACCCACTCTCTCAGCCTCAGCAGAAGGCCAAAGGCAAGCCTCTTCTGAACAAAACCTTGCTAAGAAAATCCCATGATAATTTTTCTGTAGGGTTGCCATAAGTCGAAAAAACCTTGAAGGCACGCAACAGCAACAGCAACAGAGAATGGCTGGAACCGATTGCAATATAGATGGTGAATTAAGTGATCATGGAATATTAATTTCAAAATGAGGAAGAGGCATTTGTTGCAGTTACGCAGACCGTAAGATTGTTTAGAGACGAGATTAAACATAAGCTAGAAATCCAGATAAATCCACAGAGGGAGTCCTGAAGTATATTGAACATAAGAAGTTAGGTACCTAAACTGGAATGCAGTGTTCTCCGTTAAATGGAAAGATGCCCATGGTTCAGTGTCGCTGCTGGGTAGAGTTCTTAATAAAAGGAGCATTAGTTTTTTCAGCTTTTCCGCTGGAGTTTTTTGGGACTGAGAATGTGTGACTGGCCCAAGGCATTGAGTGGGTTTTCATGGCCAAGTGGGGATTTGAACCCCAAATCTCCAGAATACAAGTCCTACGCTCAAACCACTATACCATGCTGGTAACTCTAACTAGTAAGAATTCTACTGCTTTGTCTCAACTGAAATACACTCATCCCTCCACATTCACTGCAGTTAAGTGCACAGGACCCATGTGAATGTGGAAAAACCACAAATAACAAAAACACT